CGTTTCAACGGATTTTTCGTTTCAACGGATTTAGGTGGCCAGTCCCATAGATCCGTTGAAACGAGGTTTGACTGTATGTGAATTGCAAATTCACGCATAGTGATAAAGAAGGAAAGAAATTAATTATTGGAGTGTGAAAATTTTATTCAATAAAGAAGAAAAAAGCAAAAATCTGAAATGATTAAACAACAAAGAATTTCTCAAAAGCTAACCAAAGAAAAGGAGATAAAAACGAGTTGAATCAAACGCATGGAAATGAAAATAGAGAAACCCAATAAAACCAAATTTATATATACTTTTGGATTGTTTACCCCAACTATTCCTTGCTGAATGCATAATAGTAGGACTGATTTGCTAAATGTGACATTTAATCTAGAAGTTGTCCCATTTTGGGCATAGCGTGATTAAAAAAGCGTTAGGCCGATATGTCACCAAAAATAATTCTTTTTCAAATTAACCATTCATTACATTTCAAATCAAGTTGTTTGTTGATGGTCTTTGAACTAAATTAATTGTTATACACACACACATATAATAAATATATATCTATTAAAAAATTTGAAAAAATGGTATTTGAAATTGGGACCATTGTATTGGCAAAAGTCAAAGGCCATCCTTGGTGGCCTGGCACGGTAGGTTTATCAATAATATTTCCAATGGGAATTATTGTTTACAAAAAAACAATTTACAAAACAATGTGTTTTATATATCCATGCGAAATGATTTTCTACGTGTCATTCAGGTTGAAAATTATAAGGAGCTACCAGAAAATATTATTAAAAGAAAACGAATAGGTCGAGATGGTCGAGACTTGATTCCTATAAAATTTATTGGATCGTCAGACTAGTATGTTATACATGTTTGTTCGTTCGTTTTACTCGTTTAATAATAAATCTCCAGCATTAATAATAACTTATCATTAATCTATAATAATAGTGGTTTGGTTATGGAAGGCAATCTTAAACTATTTACAAATGAGGATGCTAATGGTATATTAAAAAAGCATAAAAAAAATAGCAGATTGGTCGGGGCGATCAATAAAGTGCAAGAAAATTTAGCATCAGAAAAAAACAAGGCTACCAGTAGTAGTAAAATTGAACAGCTCAAAATTGCTGATCCATACAGAAGATATTATAGCAATAGTAGCAATAGGAACAAGATTAAATATGGTAGGAGGAAACCAACAAACGAAATTCAAAATAATTCAATTGTTAATAATGATAATAGTAGTAATAGAAGAACTATAATGAGAAATGAGAAGGAAGAAGAAGAAAAAGTTAAGGAAGTCAATCACAATAATAATAGTGAAAATAGGGTTGGTGACAACCAAGTCAGTGCTAATAAAATTGGGCCCAAAAGAGGTCGTAAACCAAAGAGAAAAAATATAAAAAAGCATAATAAATCTTCTGGACAAAATATTGGTGGTGGTGATATTGCTGTTGTTAATGCTGTTAACAGAAAAAACAAAAAACGATCACGTGCTGATCTATCTGATGATGAGAAGGAGGAAATGGACAATAATAGTATTGTCGAGCGTAAAATTAAAAGAAGAAACATTACTACTTCTGAAGCTGAAGTTCCTGTTATTAGAAAATCCTTGAGACTTCAAAATGTTAATACGAATGGAAAAGTCGCGAAAGAGCTTAAAGAAACAGACAAAATAATAACAACAACTACTACCAATGGAAATCAAAAGGTATTATTTTATCATTATTATACACACATATATTTCATTAATATTAATTTCAATTTAGGGACAGACACAATTAGCAGATAAAATTGGTAAGGAAAAGCTGCTAGTAATATTGATGATAATCAAGATGTTATAATGGGGTGAAGGATACTCTGAAACAAATAAAAACTTTCTTTTTCTTTTTTAATAATATTTAGTTAGAGATGATAAGAGATTACTTCATTTAAGACATATATTGCAAAAATTAGCACTTCGAGATGAAAAAGATGTATGTTGAACTTTCTTTAATTCCTCATAATTAAAGATAAATTAAATAGTTGATATAAATTTCATTTTTGAAATACTAAAGGAGGTTGAGTTGAAAATAATCGATGAGGCAATTAAAGAAGTTGAGAACTCATTCATAACGATTGAAATTTTAAAGGTATATATATGAATATGCAAATTTACTGATAAATTAAAATCACCTTTTAACTAATAAAAGTTATTAAAATATATATACATGTAACAATAGAAAAGTAAAATGGGCATTGTGATGAGAATGATTTCTGAAAAATCATTTAATGAAGATCATTATAAGATTGTTGAAAGATCCCAGAATCTTGTAAATAAATGGAAGGAAATGTTATCAAAACAATTTCCAGAAGAGAATTTATCTTTTAAAAATGAAGAATCACAAAAAGAAGTATCATCTTCTCTAGCATCATAAAGTGGTCAAAATTTAATTTTAAAATAATAATTATTCCAATTAATATTTTTGTAATTTGTAAATACAAGAAAGAAAGCAATTACAATAATAATAATAATAAAATTTGACGTTGCTATTTTTAGACTTTAACATCATAATCTTTGGGGCACTAATAAATTTGTCACGTAATGGTTAATTTTAACACGTGATTGTAAGTGATTTACAATAATGTCATTTTTGGTGTGTCCCATTCATTCCCACGTTCGCTTTTTTCTCCACTACTGCAAATAAATTTATTTTCTAATAGAAACATAGAAACAAAAAAAAAATGGATGCAACATTATTAGCAGAATTTTTTAATAATTTAGAAAAATTATTAGATTCGGAAGACAATTACGACGTTATAATTCATGTTGGTGTTGGAACAAATGCCAAAGAAATTCATGCGCATTCTTCAATTCTAAGCACTCGTTGCTCGTTTTTTAAAAATGCATTGTCAAATACAATAAAAGAAAATGGATATTATGTTATCAAGAAATCAAATTTCGATGAGCTCGTGATTAAAACTATTCTCAAGTAAATTTACATTAATTTTATATAATAATGATAATCATTCATTTAATTAACTAATTAATTAATTATAATAAATTTTTTTAATAGATTTTTATATGCTTGTAAAATTGAATTAGGAGAATATACCGGAGATGATTTATTGGATTTAATGATTGCATCTGATGAACTTAGTCTTCAATCACTTTACAGATACACACAAGACTATTTTATTAAAAATTGCGAGTCCTATATTGGTGAAAATACAGTTAAAATTCTACAATTGACTTACCATAATGAAAATTTTAATGAATTAAAAGAAATCAGCTTAGAAAAGATTTGTAGCGATAGCAGAAAATTATTTGAGTCAGCTGAATTTCAATCATTGGAAAAATTAATTTTATTGGCAATTCTTGAAAGAGATGATTTTTATGCTGAAGAAATTGATATCTGGGACAATATTATTAAATGGGGATTAGCAAAACATCCAGAAATCGATGATGATGTTGAAGATTGGACCTTGCCAGATTTTGCTGAATTTGAAAAGACAATAAAAGAATTTATTTCTTTAATTCGATTCAGAGATATTTCTAGTAATGATTTCTGCGACAAAATCACTCCATACCAAATGCTTTTTCCTAGGGCCTTATACAAAGAAATTAATCGTTACTTTTTAATCCAGGGTGATAAACCAATTTCAAATAATTTGTTGCCATCAAGAAATCTCATGGTTAACTCGGTAACAATGAGGCAAAAGATCACTTTACTTTTTGCAAGCTGGATTGATAACAAAAGCTCACCATATAGTTTAATCAGCCAAGTCAATTATGTGTTTAAACTTCTATATCGTAGCAGTAGAGATGGCTTAAATCCAACCACATTTCATAAAAAGTGCGATAACATCGTTGGCACTCTGGTAGTTGCTAAAATACAAGACTCTGATCAATTAGTTGGTGGTTATAATTCGCTTGATTGGAATGGAGATGGATATAAAAGTACAACTGAAAGTTTTATCTTTAACATAACTAATAGAGACGATATTGATACTGCGAACTATAGTCGTGTTAAAAATTCTAGTAATGCAGTTTATTGTAATTATTCTCATCTACCTACTTTTGGCAGTGGTCGTGATATTCAATTTAATACAAGTGGCACAATTGTCAGCAGTCCAAGTTCTTATAATAACATCAGTATAGTGAATGGTAGTAAATTCGATGAATTAGAAATTTTTCAAATAATTGCTAAAAATTAAATTATCAAAACTGCTACAGTAGCACAAAAAGTTATCGTTTCTATTATTGTTGTTATTTATTATTTATTATTTATTATTATCATTGTTATTATTAGATTATTGTTATTATATTACTGCTTTAGAAAGTAAAAATTTTTTTTAATAAAGTAAATAAATATATATGAAAAAAATTATCCGATTTTTCTCCTACGTCTTTTTCTTTTTTATCTAAAGGCCACCAATCTACCTTGAACTTTCATCATTCAAGAAGCGTGGTTGGAATAATCTTTTCAGATCACATATTATTGAATTGAAAATGATGGCAGATAAATCATATGATTGCCTCCGAACTTGTTTTCTTTGAGAAATATAATTTTTTATTTGGTTCTTTATTTTGTAACTCACATATAAATCAATTCGTTCTTGTAGAGACAAAAGTTGAAGGATGTATCCAAAAGTTGAAATACGCAAATATTAAAACTTGATTTCAACATTCAACTTATATTTTATTCTGAAGTAACTTGTGGCGCGTGGGTAATTTTAATAAAATCTTTTTGTCAATTGGTTTTTATTATACAAAATAAAAGATTTTGAATTATTTTATTCAGTGCCAAAAATTCATTTGAAATTGCCGTCGAAAAAATTTTTTTTTATATAATTTATTAGTCTTTGATACGATTTTATTTAAAGGCATTTTTCGATATTTTTGAAAGCCAAAAAAAACATGTAATAACAATGTTGAATAATGGCTCGCTGAGTGAATTTTCTAAAAAACACTACAACCACAGCTTGTTATGGTTTCTCATTCAAAAAACTTTTTTATGAACGCGTTACTAGAAAATCCTTTTTCGATTAATTTTGAACTTGTGCTGTACGTAAAGTTTATTGTCATCTACTTTCGGAAAAATCATTTGAAAATTTTTTGCGTGCAAATCATTCGACCGATAATACATCCACAAAAATTTTTTGTAATTATGTATAATCTTTTAACACGTTTAAATGCATTATTTGCATTTTCTACGACCATTATATTTGTTTTATTAGGTGCAATAGCTATCATAACAACCTTTATACCAAGTTCACCAGAGGCAAAAATTGTAATCAACGAATTAGGTGTATATCCTTTTAAGTATGGTGAATTTGCACATGTAGAGCTGTCATTAAAGGCTGGTTAGTTAAAAAATTTTTAAAATAGCTTTTATTTGTTTTTACTCAAAAAAATCACCTTTTGAACACTGTAGATTTGACTTCATTGTTTAATTGGAATGTGAAACAAATCTTTTTGATGATTGTTAGTGAATATGAAACTAAAACACATGTAATTAGCTAAACGATAAAAACAATCAGATTGATTTATTAATGTGACTTAGATTTATATGCTAATAATATAAAAATAAATATATAAAATAGGATCTTAATCAAATAGTTTTGTGGGATACAATTGTTGATTCACAAGATAATGCAATAATTGAAGTTGATATTAAGAATATTTATGACTTTGTTGATATTAATAATAAATTCAAGTAAGATTATAATTTATTTTTCTTATAATTTAAAGATTTGGCCAATAAAATTAACTAATTAACATTTATTGAACATTAGCGAAGTAAATTCTTCATATTCATTACATTGGGATATCATGCCTTGTGTTGGGTTATTAAAATTAGATAATTTAGGGCCTAGTAGTTATATGAAGTTTCCCCCCGTGACTAGAGGTTGAATTTTAGTGTACTGCATTGTTAATATTACTTACTATATAAGTTTATCATATAATAGATAACCATGGACTTTATTTTAAAGTTTTTGATATCAATATTTGGAAATGTAACAAGTGTGAAATCTTATTTTTGAATTTGTTCAGGATAATAAAATTTAAATATTTTAGATTATTTTATTTATGTTAACTACATACATACTCTTGAGTGTAATCACAAAGAGACTAACAGGCTATGTTCCATTGAGCAACCCTTCAAACACTCGTGATAGCATCATCATTAAACGGGAAATTACTTTTATAGCTTTGAAACTGGGGGTCAAAATAATGCAGCAACAACACATTATACTTCAGCAGTAATAAATTGAGTTGAGTGTCATAATTTGTAATAGTGTGACAGAAAATATACCAATTTCTTTTCCAATAGTCGGTGACACATGAAAATAAAATAGTTCTATATCCTTTGCAATCACTCGTCATATTAAGCCACACATCTGTTGCTGTCAACACCAACGCGCTTACTTGTTGCTACCTACAATCTCATATGAATGACAATTAACTTTGGAATAAAATTCGTGGATAGACACAAAGAGAATTTGATGATGGCCCAAAAAGTAATGGAATTTGTTAAATGACAAAACTTTAGAGATATTGCAGCATTTGTCTATTTCACAAAGGTTTTATGTAAAAGTAGAAACTAGCGTCTGCACTTCACATTTGATCATGTAGAAAATTGAAGAATTTATCAGGACCTATGAAAAAACAGATCTGAATTAGTTTTAAAAAACTGGTGATAGAATTACTATTTAATTTAATTATTATAAAAGGATTTCAATTATTGTTGAGATATGTAATTTATGTTACCGCCATTTTTACTGGAAATTCTATGCTTCTTTGTATTTTGAATAATTTATCCTTTTCCTCCTCCTCCTCTTCACTATCTATTTCTGATTTACCTTCTGATAACAATTCATTTCTTTCCTTACGTTTATTTTTACTCAATGAATTTGGTAATGCTTGTGTTGTCGCTGTCAATAAACCAAATCAAAGAGCCAGAAATTTAGATAGAAAAAAAATTTTTGAATCGACAACAATAATAATAAATTTTATTATTAATTCTTATGTGGTATTGAGTCAGGAGCCACAGGAAGAAAAGGTGGTGGTAAATTCATTTTATTCATCAAGTGCAAAGCTTGTATGTATAACTTTGGTACTGTTGCAATAGCATTCGTAACATTTTGCAAAATTTCTATTGTAGGATAATTTATCCCGATTTTACACACAATATTATAAACTAACAAAATTAAACGATAAATCGATAAAAATAAATTATTAAATATAGATTACCCTAATAAAGGAGCTATTGGTTCAGCTATATTTAAATCATGCTTAATAGACGTGGTTCTTTTTAGTATTCTTGTATTTGCGGTAGTAATTGGTTGTTGTTGTTGTTGTTGTTGTTATTGAGTTTGTTTATATCATTAGCATGTTGTTGGCGATTTAATGTTTCTTTACTTGGAGAAGCATATTCTACTCTGATATTTTTACCATTAATATCTCCTAACTCTTGTATTCAAGTGAACACTATTGACGCTGAATTACGGTCCCAAAAATCTAAAATGACAGAATTTTTCTAAATAAGAAAGCTTTTAATTAAGGAAATACCTTTAATATAATTTAACAAAAATAAATTCATACTTGCATATGTTTAGATTTCCAAGTCTGATTTCTTCAGGAAAATTTGGCATACTTTTAACTATATATAATAATAAGTGTTGTTTCCTGCAACATTTAAAAATCAAAGAGAGAATTGAATGGAAAAAAAACCCATCTTTATTGTATGGAGTTAATGAGGTAGGAGGAGGAGGCAAGATATTAGAGAAACGTTTTGGATTCATTCTGATTAATATTGAGCAATAATGACTGTGCAATATCAAGGTTTTTTAGATGTGATCAACCAATCAGGTAAGAAAGTAATAAATATTTCACGAAAATGGCAACAAAAAGTTTACAACTCTATACAAATTGTTTATTACATTCAAGATAATCTCACCCGAATAAATAAATAAAATTGAAAAATAATACTCTATTATATTACATTAAAAAATATATACCTTCGGTAAATATTTTATTCACTACCAAAAAGCACACCATCCAATATAGCATTGACAAAGATTTTCAATTGAGGTTGCTTGTTGAATCAATTTTTCTACTTGGGATGGAACATCTAAAATTTGATTTTCATTAAAATCTTTACCTATAAGAAGATGATAAAAAATTATAATCATTAATTTAATTATCTCACACATATACAAGTGCTTGAATAAATTTTTAATTATAATGTACCACATACCTGTCAATTTATTTGATATGCGGTGTATGATATCACGCGCACGGCGATTCGTTGTACCTGCATTGTTAACAGCTTCGCCGTCTATATATGTATAAAAGCAAATAAATAATATGATTAAACATAATAACCAAATAAAATAAAATTTATTTCAACCAATACCTTGTCTAGGACTTGGATTATTCATTATTCTCCAATTAATAAGCGGATCATGTACAAATGCTTCTAATACTGCCATAAGACTTTCTTTATTTTTACGTAAAACAGTCATAACAGCTTCACATGTTATACGGAAATTTCCTTCAATTTCACTAACTTCCATAGCTTTCCTAAGCATTCTTGTCAATCTAAATGGAATCCTTTCTGGATATTTTTCTCTTGTCATAGCAACCTCAAAGCAATCTCCAAAATCAATATGAACTATTTTTCCTGTGTACCGATCCAACATTATATTTGATGGATGTCTATCACCAAGTCCAAGTATATATCCTACCATCGACATAAGCGCTAATGATCTTGTATAATTAGTACGACGATCTAGCCATGCTTCAGAGTTTTTACTCTTGAGCCATAAAATTTTATAAAGATCTTGTCCTGTAGTGTTGGCCAATGCAAACTCAAACACTTCTACTTTTTGAAATATCGTACAATGATCATAATCAGGTGCCATCTGGAATAAATAAATGGTGTTAACATCTAGCAAGAGAAATAATTTTGATAATGTAATAAAATATACAATTTAAAATTATATATATATTTATATACAAACCTGTAGCATTAATCTATGTTCAATATTTAATAATATTTTTTTGCTTTCACGATAATCACGTATTAATGCATGTAGTGTATCACAGTTTGGAACCCAACCAAGAAGTCCAATATTAGGTGTAAGTGGTGTCACTGTATATCTTTGTATGTGTAAATGTCTTTTAAATGTTTCTGAATCTAATGATAAAAGTGTATTAACCAAGCCAAACAATTGCATAACTCTTTCATCTTGACGTAAATCCTCATGTCCTGCAAATATTTTTAAAATCGAAAAAAAATTTTTTTTTGATATTACATACGCGACAATAATAAATTAAAAAAAACATACAAACCTTTCAATAAAAATTGATATTCTTTTCCATCGCTTCCTTTTAGATTAAGCTTTCTTGGCCGTTGCTTTGATGAAATTATATTAACTGTGGGCATAAAACTAACAATTTTTAATACAGGCTCTCCACTTTTGTATGTTCCTATAACCAATAGCATAGTATAAGAAAAGTTAATTAACATCTATGTTAAAATTAAAAAATTGCTTTATCATCTTCAAACAAACCAGGCACAGCCAATTCAAGATCTTTAGCAGCTAATAATTTTGGTGAAACATATTGAAGTTCAAGTGTTGAAATATTGCTGACTTGATTGGTAATTTTTTTAAACAGCTATATTCATTATTTAAATTAATAATAAAAATCAATTCCATTGTATAAAATTGGCATTATAAACATATATAAGAAATTATTTCTTGTAATACTTCATGATAAATTTGCCATGCTTGTGTGAGAAGAGCTATATCTCCTAATTGTCTATATTTTTTACACAATATATTTGCTTCAGAAAGTTCTCTACCATAAGCTTGTACAAAAGTTATTTCACGCAATGTTTCGGGTCCACCCTCTAAACGAACTTGTAAATCATCCAATATTTGAAACATCGCTTCAAAATTACGATCAATAAAGTAAAGCCTTGAAGCTTCCTCCAACTGCTCCATCCATATTTCATGCCATAAAATAGCAACACGAATCAGCTCTTGACTAACAAGCAGTGCCTATATAGATTAATCTTTTTAGAATACAAATTTACTTTTTATTAATTCATTATCTTCATTATTATATATATTTACCTGTTCAACAAGTACTGGACTATGTGAGCGCAGTTTATCCATAACTGCCAAAGCTGCCTTCTTTCTATTTGAACTTTGAGATTTTGATGCAACAGTAAGTGGATAAATTAAAGCTTGAGGATGTTCCTTACCAACTTCTGTAAGTAACTGATGTATTAACCGTCTAATATTTGTATTAGACACATGAATACGTGCAATAAGCTATATATAAAATAAATTGTAAAAATTAAGAATTTTTTTATATGATAACCAAAAATTAAATTTTCACAAATATTTATTAAAAATGAAATCGATTTATACCTGTGGAATAACATCCAACCAAGTATCTATGTTGACACTACTAAATCCTTCACTTATTGCCGTGCTAACCTCGTGATGATATCCATACTTAAACCACAGAGTTAACAATCTTAATGTGTCTTGTAGGCAATTACCTCTTGACAACGCGATTGAACAAAAGAATCCTAAAAACAAATATGTTTAATGGCTAAAAGAATATTTTCTTTTAATAAACACGCATCCTAAACGTATTATTACCTTGCACAGATGGCACAACATAACGTAAAATTTCTTGTTGAATTTCTGAATTGATCATTTCCTCAGAAAATTCAACAATTTCTTCATCTGATTTATTATTCTCCAAAGCATTAAGTTTTTCGTAATGTGAAATCACTTCAAAATTAGCAAGAGCCAATGCATGCCATGCTTTATACCACTCTTTATCATATTGTGTTGCATGTAAATAAGATTGTAAAATCTCTGGAATAGCTTGCTAATATATATATACAATAAAATAAACTATCATTATTAATTCATGTATAAAAAAAAATAATAGATACAAGAATATTCAATAATAAAACAACATGCCGGTTCCCAATCATCCTGAAGAGTCTTTTGCCATTCACCTTTTTTAAGGTAACATCTGGCAAGTAAACTTGTATTGCCAACACGGAGATCATTTGATATCCTATCAGTAAAATCCTTTAATAACGTAAATGAATTCTGGCGTTCACCTTTTGCCCACATCAATTTCAAATGTGCATATACAACTTGAGGAGCTGCTCTTGTTAATACCTTTTTTTTTTTAATTGTTAACGAGTTAATATTATTAGTATTTTATAGAGTATTTGTATGTATATGTGTATTGAAATTTTTCATTATATATATTAATTGGAAAATTTACTGATGGATGAATTGTTTCTAGCCTTTTATCACCAACTAATAACTCTCTCAACGTTTTTTCAGCAAGTTCCAATCGTTCACTCTTTCTACAAAGATTTGCAAATTTAATCCACATTTCAACGTTTTCCTTTGGTGAAATTACCAATGCACGAACTTTTAAAACTTGTTGCCAAACATCTACATTACGCTGACACCCTTTCAATCTTCAAATAAATCCAGCAATTGATGATTTTAATATAATTCATTAATTATGAAAAAAATAATAAAAAAACTATTGTTACCTTTCCATCCAAGTTTTCCTAATAGTTGCTTGGCGATCAGGCTGGTCAGAAAATTGTTTGTACGTTATAATTTCTTCCAATTCTGATAACATTTGAACACGTACAACAACACTAAAATGAATGATTAACTAAAAGATAAAAAATAAATAAATTCACTCCATATATATACAAATAAGTATTTATATACCTGTATGCTCTGCTATAACTTTCACCAACAAGAGCAGTTAATTCAGTATCTAACAGGTCACGGGTTCTATCAATGTTAACCATTGCATCGTTATATTGATTTTTATGTAAAGCAAGGATTGCTTGATAGAATGTACGGTCTGGCGAATCTTGTTTTATAGTTGAAATATAATCTTCCATTAAACTCCATTGACCTAATGCCCAGGCTCCAGCAGCAGCATATATTGACATTGATTCACGCATTTCATCTGTTGATTCATGCCATTTCTCTTGAACTAGAGTGGATAAACCATCAGTGTTGCCCAAAGAAAACATACATTTCATCACGCCAAGCGTTGCTTCAAAATCATTTGGATTTTCTTCACTTCGCTTTTTATAAGCATCAAATGCATCCTCCCAACGGTTCAATTTTTCATACCAGTTTTCTTTTTTCTGAAAATCTTGAACATTTGGCATCTCTTGTGCCAATTTAAGAATTCCTATAGCTGCATCAGGCAATTGTAATTGGTTATTAATTTGAATTAATTTTTCAATTGTTTCTGTTGATGAATCTGACATGAATTCCATCTCTTTATAATGAAGAGCTTTTGCATATGCATGACATGATTCGGCATGATTTCCAAGTGTCTTAATGTCAATAGGTAATGCTTTATCATAATGTTCCATGAATTCAGCTAAATTTAAAATGGTTGATACAATTTCTGAGGGAATATTGGAAGCTCTCAATGCAGACATCAATGAATTGACAAGTTCATCCTATGTTGATCATTATGATAATAATAGTAATTTACTAATAGATCGCAAAATTATTTTTAAAAAATAAAAATAAAAATATTAATTACCTTATATTGATAATACAATTCCGTCCAACATGATATAAAACCAGCATTAAAAAGTTCTCTTGCTAAAGGATGATAAACACCAGCAAGACTAGCACAGGCTCGAAGAGCATGCGAAGGTGATTCTTTAAGTAGTTCAACACTTAAACGCCTAATCCACTCATTCCAATCATCTTTTGTAGACCGTTGCGAACATTCCCAAGCATTTTTCAAATGTTGCTGATTGACAGGTAATTTCTTTGCATTAGTTTCAGCAGGAGGTATTTCATCTATACGTGTTTCATTAAATTTTTCTTCAATACCTAAATCTTGAGATAGTTTCTCACCTTTCAAAAGTTTAGAAATTAATATTTCATAATTTTGATGTTGGATTTTATTTTTATGCAAAACTTTGTTAATCATAGGAATAAATACAGCATAATCTGATCCAAGTTGGTATACAAGTGCACAAAGCGTGTCCATAGCAGCCATTTTAAGTTCATAATTAGACATAGCTAATACACGAGCAAGTGGGTGAATTATTCTGGATGTAAGATCTGAAAAATTCACTTTCTTTGACAATTCACCAATGGTGCTGACGGCTGATTTACGAAGTTGTAAAGGTACATCAGATCTTTCAAAAAGTCTAACGACTACCGGGATAACAAGGTGCATGTATTCTTCAATATTAGTTCCAAATACTACCAATGCATGTAAAACTTTTTGAGTAGGTTGACGTTTGTCACTTTTATCCTGATCAAAAATTTGAAGCATTATTGGCAAAAGGCTTGGCAGATAATTTTTAAATTCCCCATCTAGAGCCTTAGCAACCTCTTCAACCAAATGGATTATTGTAATTTGAATTGAAGAACTTGGTTCCCAAAATAATTCAATTAATGAAAAAATATCTTGAAGATAATTACGAATATGTTGTTGTACAATTGAAACAAGTATACCTAATTGTTGGAAATAAAATTCCAACATTCCAGCAGGACATGTTTTCATTACTCCGAGAAACGCTGGAGTTATCTAAAGAAATCAAAAATATCAAATGGTTGGATAAAGTAATTTATTTAAAAAATAACAACAGTAATTATTAATTTTATGAATTATAAAATTATAATATACTTGTGGTAAAAATGGTACACATTTCAAACTTAGTGTCTTAAAAATATACATTACTGCTTGAATTACAGCAGTGTGGTGAGCACTTAAAGAAGAATCACGAAGAATTTTCATTAAAGCATTTATGACAACAGTTGGATAATAATCTTCTGAAGATGGCTCCGTTCCCGTCAATAACAATGAAACATCAGGATTTTTAGATTTCAAGTCAGATAAAGATTCTTCAGAACTTATTGTAATCTAAATATTTAATTAAATAAGGTTTATTAAATAGAGTTAAATAAATAAATAAATCCTCTTTAAAATTGACAAATATTACTTTATGTCGATATGGATCTAAAGCTCCAAGGATTCCTATCAATCTAATAGTTTCATGTCGAATTGATGTTGATGACTCAGCTTTTAAAATATTAATTAAAATTGATAATAATTGAGGATATTTCAAATATGGTTCAATTACAAATCCTGTATTACTAGATAATTGACCCAAAGTTTTCAGTGCTGAATCACGTTTTACTGTTGAACTTTGATCTTGCAATGCATCAATTATTATATGCATTAGATCATTAATATATGGCAAAAGATCCTCTCCTCCTGCACGTGCTAATTCACCAAGTGCTCCCAGAACACTTGCTGCTACTGCTGGACTAGGGTCTCGTGATTTAGGCAAAAGAGCTTTTAGTATTGATTCAACGTAAGGCTTAATTAATTTTTGAGACGATGATGCCAATAAACTTAAAAGACGTGCACTCTCTTCTTTATTTCGACTGAAAAAATTTTCGAAATTGTTAAATCCAAGCATGCAATAAAATTTCTATGATGAAGATGATGTTTACTTTACCTGAAGTTTGAATATTCCAATTCTGTCAAAAGTTGAATTAGGGTTTTTCTTAACGATGGCATAACATAAGCTGGATTATAAGAGGCAAGTCTGCCTATAATTGTAATTGTAATTTCACGAATTGTAAAAACCTCATCATTAAGAGCAATAAAAAGAGAACGAATATTTTCAGCTTGTGCAAGATGACGATCGAATCTTTCTGTAAGATTTGATAAGACAATTTCTCGGATACGTGGATCTTAAAAAAAAAAAGGAATTACAAGTAACGCACAAAATTTTTTTATTGTAGCAATGAAAAATAAATAAATAATGATAATAATACATCAAATTCAATTAAAATACCTGGATCTGAAACACCCGTAGTTAAAAGCCTTTCCAAGACTACATTGATTACTTGTATTGCATGGTTACTTGTTTGATCCAAGATTGAATCATGTGCAAAAAGTTGACAACAAGTAAGAGCAGCAGCTTCTCGAACTTCGTGATTATCTTGCTCAAGATAACTTATTACACAATCTTTTACAAACTCATTCAAAATATGACCTATAATAAATGTTATTATCGTAAGATAATCTTTGATGGAAAAAAATTATAAACATAATTTAATCATAATTAACAATACCTTTGAAATTAAAAGTTCCAAGTGTTTTCAAAGCTAAAACTATAGTTTCCACATCCTTCATATCTGAAATTTGATTTCCAAGATGTCGTCTTAGATCGTGAATTTCTGATGCAGGAGATCCTGGTGGCCGAAATTGTTGACCACTTAAAATTAAAGATAGCATGTTCAATAAACGATCTAATTTTGAATAAAAAAATTTTTTATATATTAATGTTGAAAAAAAATCTTAAAAATGAACAAATCGCAATTATTTTATATATATATATAAAATAAAAAATTACCTTGGATAGTTGGTAGTAGTGGAGGTATATAAATAGCTAATTCCATTAATGCTTGACGTAAAGGTTCACTTAATCCACATGCAAACATTAATTCCAAAAGTTCGTGCATGTGTTTTGTTAATGCTTGACCAACTGCTTTTGCCAACATTCCTATACATTGAAATAGTGACGCTTCATTGCCACCTCGATTTCGACTGATAAAAATATTTAAAATAAACTAATCTTACTTAAATAAAATTTGATTTGTAAATTATTGATTTTTTTTTTCATTTTTTTGTTTACTTACGTTCTTGGGGAAAGACCTTCCTTTATGCTGCTTAAAATTGAATCCAAATAAGGTCCCATATTACTTCCAACCGCACAAGCTACTTGGCCAATCGCAATAAATGCTATTTAATAACAATAAAATTTATTACAATGATGGCGGTGAGAAGTTAATGAGAGCATCAGTTAAGCAATAATGTAAAAACTATATAAAAATACAAACATATTGAACGATCGCGGTCTTTCTTAAGTTGACTTAATAAATATAGCATTGATTTGTGCACGTATGTTGTCACAAACTCTTTATCGTCAAATTCTGCAAGTACAGGTACTAAAGAAATAACTGTTCTTCGAATAAGACCATCACGGGAATCTTTGAATTTCAAAACAGTTTCGCATACATTCTTATAATGATCACGCATGAACTAAGATAGTTTAAAAAGAACGCTAAAATTAGGAATTAATCAAAAACATATTAAAGTAAGCATAAATAGTAAAATGTGTACCAATTTTGCATGATGTAATAATTCTCTATATGCCAATAATGAACCATGTATGTGATCAGTGTGATTTAATTTTAATGCTTTTGATGCTTCTTCATAAATTTTAGTATACCATTGTATCCTATAAGCGCTTTCTCTTTCATAAATGATTTTCAAACAAGAACTTAATGTTTCTGCTGATGCCTCTCGAATTATTTGTTTTTGGTCACGTAAACCAATCCATATGTGATCAAGTATTGATGGTACATAGGTGTAAATTAGCGTTGGCGTATTCTGAGCAAGTTCTCGCAACACTAATACAGCAGCATAACGGCGAGACTCGTTCCTGTCACCTTTATTGTTTTTATTTGTATGGATTCAAAAAGAGAAAAAAACTGAAATCTTAAAATGCAATTATCTAACTTTAACCAATATGCCAGGTATTCCTTTAATTTATCATCATACCCTGAAGATATTCAAGTGAAGTATTTACTTCACGCTGAACAAAAATCGCAGTAACCGCACCACTTGGAGCAGCCAATTTTCCTTTTTGTTGTTAACAAATTATAAAATTAGGAATGTTAAACATATGAAAAAAAAATCGCAATAATATAAGAATAATGATGATGGAACCTAACGCTTTTGATGCAAATGTCATTATCTGTTGATCACCACATAATAAGACCATTTTTAAATAATTCGTAAAACGGGATAAAGTGGTTGTTTCGATATTGTTATTAATAAGTGCATCTGAAATAGCAATAATAATCAAATCACGTTGATCAGCAAACAAACGAGAAGAATAATAATCAAAATTTTAAAAAAAATAATAACGACATCTACCTATTGCAAGTATCCCTCCAATTTTTTGAGCATCAGGTGTGTCGGGTTGCATCATTTCAAAAATGCACCTGTTGGCTTCATTTAATAAGTTTGATTGACCTTCGACCTATCGTCATTATAACATGTACAAGTAATTAGATAAAATTGATTGACAATTGAGAATCATTTTTCTCAAAATGCTTACCAGTAAACGAAGATCTGAAGCCGCCTTTTGCTGTATGGTCTTATCTCTTTAATATATAACGTTTTACCATTAATAATGTTAGAGATAAGAGAATTTTTGAATAATTTTATTTAAATGAAAACTTACTTGCTCTTTAATCTTTGAAATATTTCGTATATTTCGTTCATTTTTCTATATAATAAATTAATAAATTTGACAATTAGAAAATATAGATTTTTGATTTGTCGCACAAAAATAAATAGACCCCATAATTTGGTGACCTGAAACCTATCACTTCATTATAACAAGTCACGGCCTTAACCCCCACCTACAGAGGTGAATCAAAAAGCCGTTGTAGTTGCAAAACAACCTGGTCAAGCAGAAAATTTTGTTCTTTATTTTGAACTGTGATGGGATTAACCCACCAATTTCTTGAATATGCAAAAAAATTTGTTTTATGTTGCGAGAGGCATTGATGTCATGATTCCAATTCATCTGACATTTATTGTTTTTACAATACACACTATAGGAAATTTAATTAAGAAGAGCGTTTATAGAGTGAAATTTTTATATAGTAAAAAATTGGGGTCCAATTCCCAGTTTGTTATCTGTTAGTGTGTACTGTATTACACAGTGGATCTCGATTTAACGTACCTCGATTTAATGGGTACTAAAATGGATTGAGGTTTAATGATAACAAGATTAAAATATGTACCAAAACCTGACTTATGTGCTATATAAAGTCGTTCTAAGCACCAATATTGATCGACCAACCTATGTTGCCTCAAACTCAGACGCCAAAGACAGCTCAAGCACATTATTAATATTATTATTACGTGTAGTTCTGTAGTTAACTTCAAAGTCAATACAACTCATACAATATGTACAATACATAGGAGTTTATTGCTTGTTTGCTATATACTCTACATTAAATTATTGGCAAGTAATGTAATGTTGTTGTTTGACGAATGTTATCAAAGTTGTAAAGTAAAATTGTTATAAAAGCTAATAAAATATAAAAGCACACAATAAATATGTATTTCAAAGTCATTTTTCTTGTGTCTCCTTTGCTTCATCGACTGTTCCAAAGGAGTTAAGTTCTTCTTTTGCTTCAGTTTCCACACACTCATTTACTACTAAACTCGACCATTTCTTATGTTAATATTAATAACATGATCCATGGTCGGGTAGATAAAATAATCAGTTAGGGATTCGAATAATTGTGTCGACTAATTTTAATGCAGTAATTATCAAATGAAAATTTTACGAAAAGCCTTTTATAAGATTGATTAAGTTAGTTTGCAATAATAAACCCATCTTTACCTTTATCCTTATTGTAGTGATCTATGAAAATTACATTAAAGATAACTTCTGGTCCTTGCAGAGGAAAATAATAGATAGTTGACATTCTGATAAAATAAAACTCTGATAGAATCATTATTTTTATTAAAAGTTAATGAGCCTTTAGAAATAAATAAAAATAAAAATGTTGTTTATGTTTCAAGTACTTTGATAAAAGCAACAAGTGTAGTTCCTTGATAAAAGATAAAAATTATGGAGCTTTGGTAAAAAGTCATGTTTTATTTGCTTTGGTGAGCAAAGCAAGGTTAGGATTAACATTGGTTAACTAGTGGGTGTTAATGAAGTATCATCCAAAGGTTAATCGGAAATACTGGTTGTAGTCGTAAACATAAGGCTGTTAAACAAGTTACTCAAGTTGTTTTGCAAGTAAACCAAAGCAAGTTTGCAATCAGTCAATAAAATAAATTGAAGCCTTGAGCTTTGTAAAGCCATATTTATTTATTTATAGTTATCTGGTGCCATTAAGTGTGCTCACAGATTTGTCTAGGTGCAAGAAAGAGGGAAGCAAAGTAAATTCGTAAGCTAATTAATTGACAAGCGCCAAATTATTGCAATGAACTGACAAGAGTAGTCAAACTTGTTAAATTAACTGAACGATACCTTTCAATATCAAAATTTAACAAGAATCAAAAAATTGTGAAAAGTTTATTATTTCAAAATAATTTAAGAAATAAAATAAAAATAAAAAGAAATAATTTGAGATTAAAATTAGTCATTCATCAATTCTTTTTTTTAATTATTAGGACCTAACGCAATTAAAAATATTGTTAGTAATAATTAATGGATAGTAAGTTCCAATTAATTAATTAATAACGGAGTTTTTATTTACCTTCAGCATTTAAGAGAAAAGAGCTAAAATCAAGACTATTCAATGAACTATCATTACTTGTATAAATTTTTAAGCTTTTTGATTTAGCAATCTCATCATCCAATATTCTACTTTTATGATATGCACCTGGATGTGATTCATATACTTGTTGCGAATCACTATCACCATCACTAATAGTAATATTACTGATATTATCATCATTATTTTTAAAAACTTCATTACGTTTATTTCTAGCAAATTGATAAAGCTCTCTACTAGTTGGTCTTTTTGATGGATCCACATCCCAACACATCTGCATCATTTGTGCATAATCTTCAGGCATTCCAGGCAATATTGGTGGTCGTAAACCTTTTGCACATATATCAAAA